TTGGGCAAGGACACAGGGGCCCCATGATCCCCTATTGCCCAGGGGCCCCATGAGTTGTCAGTCCGCCCCTGCTCTGGAGGAACCCTGGCGAAGAAAGACTGGCTTAGATACTATGTGGCAGGTCCCATCATTTCCTTCTGTAGGGTGTGAGTATAGTCAAAATTACATAACTGGCCCCAACAATAGCAGTTTTCATTCTCTTCAATAGAAAAATAATAATCTGAATTGTGAGAAATTCAACATAAAACTTCCAGAATAAAATACTGGCACAAATACATACAGGAGCCTGCCAACCATTCCAAATGTATAAGCACAGGGTAAGCAATGGGACATTTGTAGATTGTAGAATTCCAAGACACAATTCAGGTCTGAGACGGATACACAAAGAGCGGAATCATCCAGCGGAAGAGAATCTCCACTGAGAACGTTTATTACATATTCTAATGAGCCTCCTGGGACTTAGCCTTGTTTACACAGTTCAGTTCATTGTGTGCTTTCACTATCGCTGTTTCTGTGAACATCCTGAGAGGTTCAAGTTGGGATCCATGAGATTAAAGGGAACCTGCTATGACAGGACTATCCGCATAGGCAGTGAAAACTTCACTTAGAAATTGCTAGTGCTCTGTAATGCTCATCCTCTAGCATTAGTGAGCCAGTAACCTGGAAGATGTGTGTAGCCACCAATGTCGAAATCTCCCACCTCATGTTTACTATAGACCACCAGCAGTATGGAGAAGTGCCTATGCTACTACCTCTGATATGTTTCCATCCTCTTTGTGATCCAACAAATTCACTACTTAGTGGTCACTGATCCATCACAAATATGCAGAATGGGGTTCCCGACTTCATCAGCTGCATTGTTCCAGGTCAAAAACTTGCTATGTAGAAGAACAAGAGGATCATAAATTCAATACTTAGTGGTCACTGATACATCACAAATATGCAGAATGGGGTTCCCGACTTCATCAGCTGCATTGTTCCAGGTCAAAACCTTGCTATGTAGAAGAACAAGAGGATCATAAATTCACTACTTAGTAGTCACTGATCCATCACAAATATGCAGAATGGGGTTCCCGACTTCATCAGCTGCTTTGTTCCAGGTCAAAACCTTGCTATGTTGAAGAACAAGAGGATCAGAATGACAACCACACAAGTACCGCCCTCTAAGTTAGCTAGATTTGTTGTTTTTCTTAGAGGCTGTGTAGGAGCCCTCCTACCTTTCCAGACACTGGAGAACTTTCTTGAAGAGGGGTAGAGGAGGGGAGGAGGCCCAGATCTGCATGTTTGAGGGACCTTGGCCAATTCCATAGCAGGAAGCTGGACACTGTTACCAAGGCAAACCTCAAATATGGCAGAGCCTGGGGAACAAGGGGAGTCAGAAGGAAGGATGAATGAGAGGAAGGCAGGAGTGTGGAGCTTGGGAGGGGGCCCCAGGGAGGAGAGCCTACCTATAGGCTGGTTGCTGGACAGGAGTATCTCCATTGCTCAAAGTAGGAGTTAGCGCAGTGAAAGGCCTGAAAGCAGCTACCAACCCACCATGCTGACAGCACAGTGTGAGTTCTCCTACACCCCCTGGGCCAGATAAGGAGAGAGGATGGTCAGGTGCAATAACCAACTAGTTCTCATCCGGGACTGCTTAACTGCAAGCTTCTGGGACCTCTTGCTTAGGAATACCCTCAGTACAGCTGGTTGGAGAGGAGGATTCATTTGGGGTCTGAGGAGGTACACTAAAAAGGGACTACAGCTCTCTGTAAAGAGACACTGCTATATTTTTACTAGTTTACATTTTTGTACATAGTTGCTAAGAATTTCATCCTCAAGTTCTACAGTTCCTTGGGCATCCCATACACACCCCTAGGCTCCATCCAAGTTGTTACCCCCCGAATAAAAACAACTAAAAAAAAAACATCTCTAGGACAGTTTACTGACTTTGAAGGTACAAATGTGGAAAATGCATGTTGCCTGGTGTGTGCAGAGCTTAGGGGAACCCAAACCAAACCCAGCGGCACTCAAGAGGGTAGTTCTACACACATATAGTATCATCTCCATGATGGGTTTCGATTAAACATTTTTTTTAAAACTGGCATGTATACAAAAAGGTCATCACTAAGGGGGAACCACTAGATGAAGGTGCACCTTATTACAGAAAGTTCATGTGAGACTTTTTGGTAAGTGGTGTCACAAGTCATTGGCTTGGTGGCTACGTACATAACACGAACATCCTTTCCCACTTGAGTGGCTTCCCTTTGAGCACATCTTGTTTATTCTGAGGAAGGAAGCCACAAAAACCTCGAATGGATTTTAGTGAAGATCCTTGATGGTTCCAAAAATATTTTAAAATCTCACATTAAAAGTTTTATAAACCTACAGGAATTCTTGCAAAGATGGCGGGTCAGTATTTAAGAGCACACTTCTCATTAAAAAAAAAAATAACTGCTTGTACTGTAGCTTTTCATAATTTCCACTGTTTTTGATTCCTTTTTCCTCCCACATGTTCCCAAACATTTGTTAGTATATCTAGCAGTAGTTAATCACAATTAACTGGACTTGTTCTGTAATGTTGAAGATGTTTTGTAGCTTCTTCAAACCATGTTTTCCGTTCTAATGAGTGTCAGGAACATAGTCCAACACACTGTATGTATCCACTGAGGTAACTCTGATACATTAATCCAATCTCCGTGGCATATGTCAAGTCTTAGGTTGATTTTCCAAGAACAGGACTACTCTAGATTGTAGTCGTTAGTCATATTCAACCAGACTTTCATGTTAAAGACATTTCGTAACTCCTCCAAGCCACATCTTCAGTTCTAATGAGTGTCGGGAATTAGAGAGGGGGAGGGAGAGAGAGAGGGGAGAAAGGGGGGGGAGAAAGGGAGGAGAGAGAGAGAGGGGGGAGAGAGAGGGAGATGAGAGAGAAAGGGAGATAGAGTTAGGAAGAAGGAGAGGGAGGGAGACAGAGGGAGGGGGGAGAGAGAGAGGGGGGAGAGAGAGAGGGGGGAGAGAGAAAGAGGGGGGAGGGAGAGAGTGCGAGAGGGAGGGAGAAAGAGAGGGGAGGAGAGAGAGGGGGGGAGGGAAGGAGAGAGAGAGAGAGAGAGAGAGAGGGAGAGGAGAGGGAGAGAGAAGGGGAGATAGAGGGGAGGAGAGAGAGGGGGGAGGGAGGGGGGGAAAGAGACAGAGAGAGAGAGAGAGAGAGAGTGAGGAAGAAGGAGAGGGAGGGAGACAGAGGGATGGAGGGGGGAGGGAGAGGGGGGAGAGAGGGAGAGAGCACAAGAGGGAGGGAGAGAGAGGGAGAGGGGGGGGGAGGAAGAAGGAGAGGGAGGGGGACAGAGGGAGAGAGAGGGGGGGGAGAGAAGAGAGAGAGAGGGGGGGGGAGGAGAGGGAGAGAGGGGGGAGGGAGAGAGGGGGAGAGAGGGAGAGAGCGCGTGAGGGAGGGAGAGAGAGGGGGATAGAGTGGGGAAGAAGGAGGAGAGGGAGGGAGACAGAGGGGGGGAGCGAGAGAGGGGGGAGAGAAGGAGAGGGAGAGAGAGGGGGAGAGAGGGGGAGAGGGAAGGAGATAGAGGGAGGGAGGGAGGGAGGGAGGGAGAGAGAGGGGGGAGAGAGAGGGAGGAGAGGGAGAGAGAGATAGAGGGAGAAGGAGGGGAGGGAGGGAGGGAGAGAGAGGGGGGGGGAGAGGGAGAAGGAGAGGGAGGGAGAGGGGGGGGAGAGGAAGATAGAGTGAGGAAGAAGGAGAGGGAGGGATGGAGACAGAGGGAGGGAGAGAGAGGAGAGGGAGAGAGAGAGAGGGGGGAGAGGGGAGAGAGAGAGGGGAGGAGAGAGATGGGAAGAGAGTGCGAGAGGGGGGGGATAGAGTGAGGAAGAAGGAGAGGAGGGAGACAGAGGGGGGGAGATAGAGGGGGGGAGGAAGGGAAGGAGAGAGAGAGGGGGGAGAGGAGCTGGAGAGAGAGAGGGGGGAGAGAGAGAGGGAGAGAGTGCGAGAGGGGGGGAGATAGAGGGAGATAGAGTGAGGAAGAAGGAGAGGGAGGGAGACAGAGGGAGGGGGAGAGCAAGTGAGAGAGAGGGGGGAGAGAGAGAGGGAGAAGGAGAGGGAGAGAGAGAGGGGGGGAAGGGGGGGAGAAGGAGAGAGATAATTTTTTTTCTAAAAAATACACACACTTATGAACACACTTATTGAACTCTCTCGCTCTCCCATTGGGGGGTGGCATACAATGTTTGTGTTGCTTAGGGCAGCACAAAACCTAAATACACCACTGGCTAGTAGTAGTTAGTCACAATGAACAGGACTTTTTCTGCCATGTTGAAGACATTTTCGTAACTCCTCCAAGCCACATCTTCAGTGCTAAGTTTCGGGAATACACCCCAGCATCTATATAGACAGAAGTAACACAGACACCTTCTTCCTATCAATATGGAATGTGTCAAAGTAGAGGTTATTTGTCCAAGAACAGGATAAGAGGTGAAAACGCTAAAGAACCGTTGTGTTCTAGTCATGTAATCCCATCCTTGGTGTCAGAGGAAAAAGTTATTTTTTGTCCATGAGCACCTTTCCAGCAGGTGATAAACTGATCCTTTCCTTGTGGCAGTTAAAGGCATGTACACTTAAGCCAGCTATACATGGATCAAAATTCAGCTGGTTCAGCAGAGACCGACCGAATTTCAGTCCATGTATGGGCAGGGATATTGTACAGAAGTCGATCTACTGACCAACTTCTGTACAATCACAGTGTCAGATTTTCCTCACTTGATAAATGCTGCTAGCTATAGCTGGCAATACACTGATCCATATATTATGATGGCGGGGAAGTCTCATCGCTGACAGAATACAATAGCTTAGCAGGGAGGATTCCCCCATCCACCTCCAATGTATGGATGGGGGATTCAAATCATGAAAGACATTTGGTGGGCATCTTGAGACATTTTTTTAATTACTTTGACAACATGTGTTTGAACCTTGCTAATCTAATTTACTGTCTGTTTTTATTCCCAGAGGACATGAAGACACAATGGCACCAGCACCGGAAGAGAAATATTTATACCTAGCTATATATATTATAACTCTTCTGACAGGCTTTCCAGCCAACCTTCTTGCACTCCATGCCTTAATTCGTAAACTGCGTGTTAAGGCCACTCCGAACGCCATCCTTCTCTTCAACTTGACTATATCAGACCTGTCATTCTTGATTTTCTTGCCTTTCAAGGTAACAGAAATCTTACAAGGCCAATGGACAATGCCATCATTCCTCTGCCCACTTAGTGGACTATTCTACTTCAGCACCATCTACTCCAGCACTTTGTTCCTTACCGCTGTCAGTGTAGAACGGTACCTTGGTGTGGCCTTTCCCCTCAAGTACAAACTGTACCGCAAGCCTAGCTATGCTGCCGCAGTCAGTGGTTTTCTGTGGATCTGCTCGTTTGCTCATTGTAGCATCGTCTACATTACAGAGTACCACCAGGCTTCCAATGCCAGCAACAGACTCACCTGCTATGACAACTTCACGCAAGAGCAGATGAAAGTTCTGCTCCCATTCCGTCTTGAGTTGGGACTCCTCTTGTTTTGCTTTCCTTTCCTCATCACCTGTTTCTGTTACGGAAGTTTCATCAGGATCCTCATATCTTCAACGCACATCCACCGTGAGAAGAAGCAACGAGCCATTGGGTTGGTCCTTACCACCCTGAGTGTGTTTGCTATGTGTTTTGCCCCCTACAACGTCTCTCATGTGGTGGGATTTTTTCAGAAGGAGAACCTCAAATGGAGAGAGAAGGCCTTGCTATTGAGTACATTTAATGCTAGCTTGGACCCCATCATCTTTTACTTCTCCTCCACCGCTGTCCAGAACTCATGCAAGTGCTGCTTGATGAAGCTAAACATTTGCCACCCTAATCCAGCTCCACATAAAATCATGAACAAGGAAAGCATGAAAATGGGACAACCGCAGCTTTCCGACAGCCAGATATATAGTTCCAAAAATTAACCTTTAACTTATTTATTTGTTTAGTGATGCTCTTCCTTTCTGAGAGTTACATTGTAACACTGCTATGTTTACAGTGCCTATAGCCATGGGAAGTGGTGGCTCCTAAACTGGCTAGGAATATGGCGACTTCTATTTTAGTTATGCATATATTGAAATGGGCATGGCAGGGCATGTGATGGCTTATTGGCCTCATATTTAGCTTTGACCAGGAGTCATGTCTGTGCCAGTTGGTATGTTTTCAAATTTTTTTTGCGTTTTTACCTGGGTGTTTTAGAGTTCCCTCAACAATGCAAAAAGTCTGGTGGATTTATTACGTAGCTTCTAAACTCAGTGGCCCTGGAGTATGTGTGATTGTGGCAGCGACAGTAGGCTGTCCTAGGGGAAGAACTGTATACTTATGTGTTGGTGCTCTATGAACATGCAGACTAAAGAAATAAATATGTTTATGTAACTAAGGAAACTGTCAGTATTTTAGAATGTAGTTTTTCTTTTGTGTTCATAACTACCTTATAGTAGATGTAAACCCTAACTGAATGCCATTCAGTTTGTGAACGCATAGTCTATCACACATCATTGCATTGCTTATTAAATTACTTGTTTTCATCTTTTTTCCATCCCTTTTTGTTCATGTTCAAAATGTGTACCTCACTATCATTAAAGGAATGTCCCTTCTTCTTAGTGTGTTGAATGACTTTTGAGTCCAACCTGCAGAGTTTAACCCTCTTATTGGGCCAAGCCAGAACAGACTTTCACACCTCCTGACACATTACAGTACATGACCCTACAATGATTGGCTTAAGGCCAAAGAGTTACCTGGTGTTCTGGTTAGAAATGGTAATGAAACATTTTTTGTAAGTGACAGAAGGCATCAAAGGCCCCCACCCTTTTTCAGGGATGGTAGATCCAGCTTGACGTAAGTGGCCCCTTTCATGCTTCTTGTAGACTAGTTGTCCTATATGTTCAAAATGTGCTCCCAGGGGCGGACTGACAACTCATGGGGCCCTCGGGCAATAGGGGATCATGGGGCCCCTGTGTCCTTGCCCAAACTCAAAAAAGCCTATGGAAAAGGTACCAGGGGCATCTCATGGGGCCCCTTACTGACCCTGGGCCCTCGAGCAGTGCCCGAGTTTCCAAATGGTCAGTCCGCCCCTGTGTGCTCCTCATTGTCTTTGAAATGTCCCTTCTCTGTAAAGTCTAGGAAAAGGGTTGAGTCTGACCTGCAGAGTTTGCCCTTCTATATTGGGCCAAACCATGAACTATGGAAATAGAACAAGGTGGCTTCACAAAGTTCTTGGAAATCAGCATCTGCCTTGACACATTTACATGTCCCTACAACGATTAGATTAAGGTGATTGAGTTAATCATGAGGCTTTAACTCTTGGGGATGTTCCTGACACTCATTAGAACCAAGGATGAGCAGCGAAACATATTCAACAATCCAGTACAAGACCAGTTGACCAAGACCTAACAACATATTAGCTATACTATGACTTGGATAGATGAGAACCTTCACAGACATATTGCTAACAAGGCTTGTGCCACACCACCAGATATATTGGACTGATGTTCTGTTTAAAGATGTTAATGTAGTACAACCAATTGAGATGTTATTACTTACAATACATTAAGATGGACATTAGATGGTGGTGGCCTGCCATTCAGGGTCATTCAAATGTTCAGAGCAGCCTTCATGAACTTGTATGCTGAACAACAGGACTCAGCTGATGAGCAGGGTGGTCAGGGACAACATTTTCCAGGAGAGGAAACTTGTGGGCGGGGGCATATAAAAAAACCAAGCCTGGGAGATTGGTTAGGAGAGTGCAGGGAGAAGGAGGTTTGCTGATGGCTGAAGTGCTGAACTAGGCCGTGGAGCCAGGGTTGGAGAAAGAGGAAGAGTGGAAAGAGCCTACTTACCACCCAGCCTGCCACGTTGCCCAGCAGGACAATCTGACAGCAGGAGACCAAGGTCTGAAGACCGTGGACTACCCTGTCTGCAGGGAAAGATGGACTGCTACGATCTGCCGGACTACTTAGATAGGGTGAGAGAGACCCATGCAGCCGCTAACCAAGCAAATACTGACAGTTTGCCACCTCAGCTATCTACCTACACATAGTTGTGAATAATTACATATAGTTGCCCCAGTTTGCGGCCTAGTTCTCACAACTGCCATTGTTGGGATACATCTGCATTACAGTTTATCTTACAGGCTGACCGCAGGACATACAGTTGCAGGCCAGGATACAGCAGTACCAACTGAAACAAATTTCCCGTTTTCAAGAAATCAGCTTTCCTACTACTGTTCATTTTTGCCTTTGATATTCAGAGGGAGTTGTCATTGTCCTTAGACACTTATGCCAATTGTTGCTATTAGTTACTTCAAGCCTGCCCTATGTTTAGTGCTTTAAAGGGGACCCCAGACTAATTCACTACCACCAAGAGCAAAAGTGTTAACTCCCCTTTTTTCTTACTTTCTTTGTGTTGTCATCCTGAGGAACTATATTCCCCACCTCCAGGGGTGGAATGACAACTCATGGGGCCCCCGGGCAATAGGGGATCATGGGGCCCCTGTGTCCTTGCCCACACTCAAAGCACACCCAAAAAAGCCTATAAAAAGGTACAAGGGGCATTTCATGGGGCCCCCTACTGACCCTGGGCCCTTGGGCAATGCCCGAGTGCTCGAATGGTCAGTCCGCTCCTGCCCATCTAAACTCAACTTCATAGCAACTGGGCCCCAACAAGTGCGCAGAAGACACTGTAGTGCTCTTAAAGGGACATTGCTCAATTCCAAATGAGAATTCTCATTACTTCATATCTAATCTGTGTCATCTATTTCTGAGGACCCACAGTGAGTTTATCTGTTTCTTGATAGTTGTTTCTGCCCACTGGTGATTCAGCAGTCCCCTCAGATTGGAGGCAGTGGATTATTTCTGAAAGCAGGCCTGCTAACAGTCATTGTTGCTTTACTGTCATTGTCATTACTTTTGCTCACAATTGCCAAGAGTGATTATATTTGCTGCATATATACTGTATCAGTGTCATTTTGTTCTTTTTGACCAAGTTACCTTTAATCCCAATATAAACTTCATATTGGTTTATACTAACTTGTGTGTGAGTCCATTTTACAGTTGTGATTTATTTTGGTCACAAGAGTACAGTGGTGTCAGAAGAGGTTGGGCTTTCAGCAAGAGGCTTAGATTGACAGGGAACCCAAAAATTACTAACAACCCTTAAGGGAGTAGTGCTGCATTAGCATTTTGTTTTACCAACAAATGGTGTCTTTTGGTGTCCCTTCTTCAAGGATGGTAGTTCCAGTTTGCCGTAAGTGGCCTCTTTCATGCTTCTTTTGGACCAGTTGAACTCTTTGCTCCTCATTGTTTTTGAAATAAAGTCTTTTGTAGGAAGACTGGTAAAGCCAGCCATAGATTAGTTGAAAAAACGGACAAAATATGTGTTAATTTTTTAATCGTTAGTTCTGCACATCATTAATGTGCCAACTGCAAAACGCGATTTTCGTACCGTAGCTGAAAACACCTGATCCAACATGCTGGATTTTTTTAGAAAAATGAAACAAATGATTGCACAATTGTATGAACTATTTTTGTTTTCCAGTCAACAGAATGTTCAGTTTTTTTAATTTGAGCTGCAACATTTGCCCTCCTATATTGAGCCAAACCATGAATTATGGAAATAGTACAAGGTGGCTTCACAAATTTCACACCTCCTGAGACATTCCTGGACAAGCATTGTCTGCCTTGACACATTACATGACCCCAGGGTAAGTGACTGAGTTACTCATGAGGCTTTAACTCTTGGGGACGGTCCTGGCACTCATTAGAACCAAAGAAGTCCATTGGATTAGCAATGAAACCTCTTCAACAAGTCCAGCTGACCATGACTAACTACTTTAAGCTTTACTGTGACTTGGATAAACGAGAACCTTCACAGACATATCTCTAACAAGGCTTATATGGCTTATATGATGAGTCAATATCACACCATCAATTATATTGGGCTGATGTTCTGGTTAGAGATGGTAATGAAACATTTTGTGTAAGTGACAGAAGGCATCAAAGGCCCCCACCCTTCTTCAGGGATAGTAGATCCAGCTTGATGTAAGTGGCCCCTTTCATGCTTCTTGTAGACCAGTTGTCCTATATGTTCAAAATGTGCTCCTCATTGTCTTTGAAATGTCTCTTCTTTGTAATGTCTAGCAAAAGCGTTGAGTCTGACCTGCAGAGTTTGCCCTTCTATATTGGGCCAAACCATGAACTATGGAAATAGAACAAGGTGGCTTCACAAAGTTCACACCTCATGTTACATTCTTGGAAATCAACATCTGCCTTGACACATTACATGTCCCTACAAGGATTAGATTAAGGTGATTGAGTTAATCATGAGGCTTTACCTCTTGGGAATGTTCCTAACACTCATTAGAACTGAAGAAGTTCCCTGGATTAGCAATGAAAACTCTTCAACAATACAGAACAAGTCCAGTTAACCATGACTAACTACTTTACTATGACTTGGATAAAGGAGAACCTTCACAGACATATCTCTAACAAGGCTTATATAATGAGTCAATATCACACCATCAATTATATTGGACTGACGTTCTGGTTAGAATTGGTAATGAAGCATTTTGTGTTAGTGAGAGAAAGCATCAAAGGCTCCCACCCTTCTTCAGGGATGGTAGTTCCAGCTTGACGTAAGTGGCCCCTGCTTCTTCTAGACCAGTTGTCCTATTAGTTCACAATGTGCTCTTCATTTTCTTTGAAATGTCTCTTCTCTGTAATGTGTAGGAAACGTGTTGCGTTTGCCCTTCTATGTTGGGCCAAACCATGAACTATGGAAATAGAATATGCTGGCTTCACAAAGTTCACACCTCCTGTTAGGTTCTTGGAAATCAACATCTGCTTTGACACATTAAATGACCCTACAACAATTAGATTAAGGTGATTGAATTAATCATGAGGCTTTATCTCTTGCGAATGTTCCTAAC